ACCGGGAAAGATGTTTTTTATGCGTACTCCGTTGGTGAGAAACTTTTTGAGTGATATCCAAAAATAAAATCGTGAGGATCTAAGTACAAAATGGACAATATCTTATCAATGTGGAGATATATGTGTGATAAAAACCCCTCATTGGTTCAACTAGGTGATTGGCGTGAACGGTGGTGGGTCCATTTATGGATGAATGTTCTCTTGGTAACATGGATGTGGAGATACATATGTGTAATAAAATCCCCTCGTTGGTTTGAATAGGTGATTGGCGTGAATGGTGGGGGGTCCATTTATGGGTGAATATCCTCTTGGTAACATGGAGGGTTAGAAGGTGTATTTGTGGATTAGCTTTTGTTGTAAGGAGGATAAACCATGTGTTCGTGGATTAGCTTCTGTTGTACGGAGGGTAAACCATTATCCTTTGCTTGAGAGGAGGATTTGTTGGGATGTAAGCAAAATCACGCATCGTTCAAACAAAATGATGAATATAAATTTATATACACATAGTTGTCTCCATTGATAAAAGATTTTTTGGATGATATTCAAAAATAAAATCATGAAAACTTAGATCTAAAATGGACAATATCATACCAATATAAAGACATGTGTGTATGTGGTCATCCTCAATGCACAACACAAATTGTGTCAATAGAAGATATTTGAATTATCAAAACCGTAAACCCTAAACCAATGCTTGTAAAAGTGGCCTAACCCATCTTGGTCCGAAATCCTCATGCATCACTTATTTTGTAGTTGATCCCCATCTTTTATTTTATTTTCATTTAATTTTACAGCTTGATTCTTTTGAGAATTGAGCCACTCCTTTTAGAGCCTAACCCAACATGTCTTGCTAAGTCACTTTTTACGACTCTACAAATTAACTTGCAAGTAATGATTTGTTTTTATCATTTTTACAATAGCACGGAATTGCTACATCCTCTTAAAATGGATGTATCATTTTCTAAATCATCTAACATAAGAAGAATTAGCAATAGGGAAGAAACTCACCTACCATGTAAGACAAGCAGAAAAGAATCAAAGTGAATATATTCTGGCCTCTCTCAATAAACTTGACTGCAAAAAACTCATCTGTGCAGTTGTCCTTAACTAGCTTGGCCACAACGAAATTCCCAGAACCAATATCTTTGAGAATCTCATAGCGCTCCATGATTTCACTGAAATTCTACTACACAGCCACCCGTGTGTTGTGTGTTTTTTTGACGTAAAACGAATGAAGAGAAGAACTCAACTCAAATGGAATGTCTTTCTCTTAAAGTCTTCATAAAATGACGTATTAGGTTCATAAAATAATCCGGGTGAGCATGATCGACCAAAAGCTGCAGGAGAAGTATCAACACTTCAGAAGTCAGAAGCGGGTATTGGCAGTGCTAAATGAAGCAAAGCATCATGTAGTATGTTTGTAGTGTACATATCAGGCTTCTCTGTCTTAGCAAGAAATATTCGATAATACACTGCATGTCATGATCTTTTATAAAGCATGAATTCATAAGGCAGAAGAGTTCTATGGGTGGGTTTTTTTTTTTGTTTTTGTTTTTGTTTTTTTGTTTTTATCTTGTGTTTAGCTACGGAACCAGGATTCCTGGGGCAGAGTCTTGGTTTCTATCATCATGTCGACTTAGGTTGCATTTGACTTATCTTATAGTAATAACTAAGAAGTGTTGAACCTCTTGGTATAATCTTTGGAAATGTCGTTATTAATTCAAAATGATTGTCCTTCTCGTGGCTTAGATTCTAATGTTGTGCACGTTATATGCTTACAGAAAATAAATAGAGGGTCAATATATATCAGAGGTGATAAAAAGAGAGTCAATATGTATCAAATATAATAAAAATAGGGTCAATATCTGGAATTCATGTTAGTCTTTAGTAACATTAATCATTGCTCATATTAATTTTCTAAACTAGGTTTATTAATCATCTCATTAAGAACCGTCAGTCTAATAATTTAGTAACATTTTTACTGCAGATTGAAACGATTTACAAGATCATTGCTCATATTGCTGCCAACGACAGAGCACTGATTTCTGAGGGTAACTGTGGTTCTCCCCGGAGCATCAAGGTATATTTTATTTAATTCTATCTGTTGGATCGAGCGCTTACCACTAGGCCAAAAGCTATAGCTGATAGTCAGGGTGCAACTCTTTTTATTTAAGAGCGCAGCAGCCCAAGCACCATGATTCAACAGTGACTTGGCTCACCTAGCCTCCGCCACGGGACAATTGATGCAACCCGCAACACTATCATATTCCTATTTATTCTTATATACTATGTGGGTTTCTAGGCTTCTAACTGAGGTGTTACTAAAATTAAAAGGTTTGTTGTGCGCGTGGGTCATTCATTCACAAAATGCACAAGGCCACAAGACAACCAAGCAAGTACGAGTGGGATTCCCACGTCAAAATGATAGTGTCATGATTAAATATTTGAAATGAGAAAATGTCAAATATCATAAAAAGTTTATCGTTATATTGACATTCAAAAAATTTCAAATTAAAGTCCCTTCACGATTCTAGCCGTCAACGGAAAGCATATTATTCACAAACACATAGATCTTCCCTTCAATAGCACTATCCATTCACTCATTAAGTATTCACCGTCCTAACAGTGGCTGTTTTGTGAATAGGCAACAACATATATATAAACATAACAAAACAAAAAAAAAAAGATTAGGTGTCAAGTGTGACCCACCACCATGTGCCTATGCCACTTGTGTTGTGGGGATGCTCTTGATCCAATCTTTTATGTTGGTTTGAATTATTAAATAAGTATATAAAAACTTAATTAAAGTAAATTAATTCTCCATTCTTCTCACTGGTCAAGTATCTCATAATCTACGTGCGCTTTACTTTCGGACCCGTTAGCGATTTTTTTTTCCTTTTTACTCGGAGATAAGTCAACAAAATAAGTATAGGCCATCGTCCTTTTGCGCCCTGCAAACGGTGTCGTATCAATCATCGTTTTAATGATACGTCGTCGTTTATTCCACTTTTTTCTAGACACAGCCAATTTCTTAATTATATTATTTATTGAAAAACGTTCCTATATAGAGTTTTACTTTCAATAAATTCACGTTATTTTTTAATATGTTAAATAATAATTTGCTAAATATTTACAGTGACAAGGCTATAAAAAGGAAAGTAGAAAAGTTAATCAAATATATTTTTTTCGCAGAATAATCTTGCGTTGAAGATTAATTTGATTTTGGAATTTCTAAATATAAAATTTGATACTTACAAAATCGGGGATTAAACTAACACAAGCAATTCCAACAATAATATATTTTTATACGATTGAGTAAAATTTTATAAATTTTTCATCAAGCACGTCAAGATTATTTAACAATAATAAACGAAATATTGTAATGAATGCTATATATGTGTAGAATAATTTATTAACCTCGTGATATTTTTTAATAATATAAACGGTCATAATTTGCTGTTATTGAGATCATTAATGCAGTGCAGAACAAACCCACAAAAGTAAGAGAGAAGCCGCAGAGTGGGTCTACTCTTCTGTTAAAAAAAATAGAGAAATAAAAATAAATTTTAAGGCCCATTTGGCCCAACTTTTCGAACCCTAATGTTTTTTCCTCGAACCCTCTAACCTTAAGACTCATTAGCCGCGGCCGACCTTCCCTCTTATAAGCAGAAGATGAACTAATGGTGAAGTGCAATTCAGAACTTTCCAGTGAGGGTGTTTCTCCAAAATCCAAAAACCCTATTGGCAAGATGAAGGTGCAAGGTACATTCTCATGTTATCTTTTACTAATTGAATTATTTAACTTAATCCAAGTGGGTCTTTGTTGAGACATTCTTCACTCTGCAGTTCGAAAAGTCAAAATGGGCTTGGACCCTCCTACTGGCTGTAGCATGTCATCATTAATCACGGACAAAGTTAAAATGGAATCTGTAAGACATCATTTCTCCAATTTGCAATCATCACTATCTGCTGGATGGCAAGCTCTCAGAAGAATTAGATTTGTACCACGTTTGCCTGCAAATGGTTCCTTGGCACGACAAAGCTTGGCTTATGTGCATGCTAGCACCCACTACATACAGCAGGTAAGGAATAACTCATCTTATGAAGTTGTTCAAGGTATGTGAAAATGCATCATGCATTATAATTATTCATTATTACTATGCATTGTGAGGAAAATTGTCAGAAAAAAAAATCCTTTGTCAATATTTATATTATGGTTATGTATGAAATAGCTAGACACGTTTAAATCTAGGAAGCAATTGGCCAAACTGAGTTTCGGCCTTCTGTGAAACTAACGGTGTCATTATACTTTTTACTCCTTTGAATTGTGTTATAAGAACTAAGAAATTTACACTAACACATCAGGTAATCATTGGTAGCTTACTATTTGATCACTATTAAAATTGTATTGAAGTTATAGAGGTTAACATAAAGGCAGGATTTGATTGAATAACATCATCATTAAGGTCATCCAATTCCCACTGTGGTATTGTAAGGTCTCATTGACACTTGTGGTTCGCCCTGATCTTATAAGTGGGAACCCTCTTTTCTCTCAACTTTTTATTAACAGGAAAAATAAAATTGTGCTCTTGCTATAATTTACACTTCCTTGCTGGAACTAACCTTAACAATAATTTTGATATAGTCCTTTGGAGAGTGTTTCGAGTTAAAAAAATTATTCCATTTCATATTTTATTATAACTAGTTATTGCTGAATTTGGAGATCTTTGTTTGACTTTTTGACTTGCTTACACATTTTATTACTCAAGTCAACCTGATTTATTTTCCGTTCTAAATTTACTTACTTTACTAGCTTGTTAGCCTAGGTAATGCACAGACTAAATATTTATTATATGTAACTAAAATTTACAATAACTTATTTATACAAATAAATATTATGTTTGAATATATAAATTAAATTTAAATTTATGTAAATAGATAATTTTAAATATATAAATTATATTTTAAATTTAAAATAAATAATTTTTATTGTAACACAATTTTTTTATTTTTTAATAATTATTTTAAAAATATTAAAACTTAATTCATAAATAATTATGTGAGTAAGAACTGAATTAGATAAGAAGTTATAAAAGTTACTAAAAAATCCTTGTATAAGAATAATTCCTAAAAACATTTTTGCACAAGATAAATGTTTGTGTTTAATATATAGGGGTTGATTCTCATTTCACTATGAAAGTTTTTTACTTGGTCTTGTTTCATTTTATTTATTTTTGCAACCTATGCATGTGATTAGAGACATCTCCTATTCCTTAAGGCTGAAAAGCACAGTTGAAGAAAATGCCATAAGGTTGCACTTGAATCTAGTGAAGTCCATATGTTGTAAGTTTTTCTTGTTTGGTTTTAAAGTTTTCTTATTCTTTTATGATTGTTCCTCCCGAATAAATTTCTTTTCATATAATTGCTTCTTCTAAGCCAAATTATCCTCCTTTGTTAATGTATTATTATAACATTTGGTTATTATTAATTAATTGTTATTTACTGAGTGTGAATATCACTATCGGATTTCTGCATTGTCTTGGACACCGAAGTTTGGTGATTTCTATTTGTTTGTCTTGATTTTATTGATGTGATTATGTTGTCTATTATGTTTTTCAACAATCAAATTTTTTTGTTGTTACTACATCATTTGATTAATTTATTCTTCGATGTTGCATTACCCTTTCCATCTGTGTCCAATTTCAATGGCGATGGAGATATAATTGATGCTGAAATTCAAAAGGTTGACTTACCGGCCCATTGCATCTATTTTGAAATGGCCATGGGTCAAATGGACCTATCAAGATACCCAAAATAAAAGAAAAAACTTTTTCTTATTTTTATCTGCGTAGAGTTGGCAAGTGATGATTGAATTTTAAACCGCTTATTGCTATACTGATAAGTTGTGATGATCACATACTCCACTTATCTGATGCCATTTAACTTGTATATTGATTTTAAGGTTTGTTTCATTGTGTTTGTTTCTTAGTGAACTTTGCTATCGTGATAATGGGTTGGCAAATGATGTTAAAACTTCTTATCCTACACACTGAATTAATGTAGTGAAGATGAATAACTCCACTTATTATCTGATGCCTTCCCTGTATTAATTTTTTTTTTTTTTTTTGTGTTTGTTTGTGTTTTTAGTAGAGGTTTTATGAAAAATTGCTTTTGACTTTTTCAAAACTATTGTTTAACTTGTCAATGATGAAGAAGTGCAGACGGGTGGACTGAACTGATGCCATGTTGATTGTCTGCCATTCCATGTTTGTAATTTCTTTGAGATACAATTGCATAATTTTTTTATTTTATTTATATATTGAGTACGTTTTTGTTTGTCTTGTTTTTACTATTACTTTAGCAATTAGTATCCTTGTCTTTGTTAAGGATTAATGCTTTAGCAATGATGAAATTGCATAAATATGTCTGGACATATGAAAATTTCTTCTGATATAATTGCTTCTTCTGAGCCAAGTTATCCTCCTTTGTTACTGTATTACTTTAACGTTTGGTTATTGTAATTGCTATTAACTGGGTTTGAATTTAACTAATGGATTTTTGCATTGGTCTCTAGACACCTGAATTTGGTGATTGCTATTCGTTTGTCTTGATTTTACTGATGTGATTATGTTGTTTATATTTGTCAACAATCAAATTTTGTTGTTACTGCATTGTTCGATTGATTTTGTCTATTTTTAGATCTGTTATTATTCTTCGTTGTTGCATTGCATCTGTTACCCTCTCCATCTGTGTCCAATTTCAATGGTGATGGAGATATAACTGATGCTGAAATTCAAAAGGTTACCGTACCAGCCCATTTCATCTATTTTGAAATTGCCATGAGTCAAATGGACCTACCGAGATACCCAAAAGAAAAGAAATTTTTTTAATATTATTTTTATCTGCATAGAGATAATTGGCAGTTGATGCATGAATTTTAAATGGCGTATTGATATACTGATAAGCTGTGATGATCACATACTCCACTTATCTGATGCCATTTAAATTGTATATTTATTTGAAGGTTTGTTTCATTGTGTTTGTTTCTTAGTGAACTTTGCTATTGGGATTAATGGGCAAATGATGTTAAAACTTCTTATCCTACACACTGAATTAATGTAGTGAAGATGAATAACTCCGCTTATTATCTGATGCCTTCCCTGTCTTAATTTTTATTTTCTATGTTTATATGTGTTTTTAGTAGAGGTTTTATTTAAAACTGTTTCCGATGTTTTCAAAACTATTCTTTAACTTATCAATGATGAAGAAATGCAGACGGGCGGACTGAACTGATGCCATGTTGATTGTCTGCCATTCCATGTTTGGAATTTCTCTGAGATGCAATTGTGTAATGTTTGTTTTTTTATTGAGTACGTGTTTGTTTGTCTTGTTTTTACTATTTATTCTCGCAGGTAGTAAGTATCCTTGTCTTTGTTATGGAGTAATGCTTTTGCAATGATGAAGTTGCATAAATATGTCTGGACATATGAAGATTTCTTCTGATATAATTGCTTCTTCTGAGCCAAGTTATCCTCCTTTTTCCATGTATTATTTTAACAATTGGTTATTATTAATTCATTGTTATTAACTAAGTGTGAATTTAACTAACGAATTTCTGCATTGACCTGGACACCTGAATTTGGTGATTGCTATTCGTTTGTTTTGATTCTATTGATATGATTATGTTGTCCATTATATTTTTCAACAATCAAATTTTGTTGTTAATGCATTGTCCGATTGATTGTGTCTTTTTTAGATCTGTGAATTATTCTTCGTTGTTGCATTGCATCTGTTACCCTCTCCATTTGTGTCCAATTTCAATGGCTATGGAGATATAACTGATGCTGAAATTCAAAAGGTTGCCGTACCAGCCCATTGCATCTATTTTGAAATTGCCATGGGTCAAATGGACCTACCAAGATACCCAAAAGAAAAGAAAAAGCTTTTTATGTTATCTTTATCTGCAGAGATAATTGGCAGGTGATGATTGAATTATAAACCGCTTATTGATATACTGATAAGCTGTGATGATCACATACTCCACGTATCTGATGCCATTTAAATTGTATATTTATTTGAAGGTTTGTTTCATTGTGTTTGTTTCTTAGTGAACTTTGCTATTGGGATTAATGGGCAAATGATGTTAAAACTTCTTATCCTACACACTGAATTAATGTAGTGAAGATGAATAACTCCGCTTATTATCTGATGCCTTCCCTGTCTTAATTTTTATTTTCTAAATGTTTATATGTGTTTTTAGTAGAGGTTTTATTTAAAACTGTTTCCGATGTTTTCAAAACTATTCTTTAACTTATCAATGATGAAGAAATGCAGACGGGCGGACTGAACTGATGCCATGTTGATTGTCTGCCATTCCATGTTTGGAATTTCTCTGAGATGCAATTGTGTAATGTTTGTCTTGTTTTTACTATTTATTCTCGCAGGTAGTAAGTATCCTTGTCTTTGTTAAGGAGTAATGCTTTTGCAATGATGAAGTTGCATAAATATGTTTGGACATATGAAGATTTCTTCTGATATAATTGCTTTAATGTACTATTTTAACATTTGGTTATTATTAATTGATTGTTATTAACTAAGTGTGAGTTTAACTAATGGATTTCTGCATTGGCCTGGACACCTGAATTTGGTATTGCTATTCGTTTGTCTTGATTTTACTGATGTGATTATGTTGTTTATATTTGTCAACAATCAAATTTTGTTGTTACTGCATTGTTCGATTGATTTTGTCTTTTTTTAGATCTGTTATTTATTCTTCGTTGTTGCATTGCATCTGTTACCCTCTCCATCTGTGTCCAATTTCAATGGTGATGGAGATATAACTGATGCTGAAATTCAAAAGGTTGACTTACCAGCCCATTGCATCTATTTTGAAATTGCCATGGGTCAAATGGACCTACCGAGATACCCAAAAGAAAAGAAATTTTTTTAATATTATTTTTATCTGCATAGTGATAATTGGCAGTTGATGCTTGAATTTTAAATGGCGTATTGATATACTGATAAGCTGTGATGATCACATACTCCACTTATCTGATGCCATTTAACTTGTATATTTATTTAAAGGTCAGTTTCATTGTGTTTGTTTCTTAGTGAACTTTGTTATTGTGATGATGAGTTGACAAAGATGTTAAAACTTCTTATCCTACACACTGAATTAATGTAGTGAAGATGAATAACTCCGCTTATTATCTGATGCCTTCCCTATCCTTATTTTTATTTTCTATGTTTGTTTGTGTTTTTAGGAGAGGGTTTATGAAAAATTGTTTTTGATTTTTTCAAAACTGTTGTTTAAAATTTCAATGATGAAGAAATGCAGACGGGCGGACTGAATTGATGCCATGTTGATTGTCTGCCATTCCATGTTTGGAATTTCTCTGAGATGCAATTGCATAATGTTTGTTTTTATAATGAGTACGTGTTTGTTTGCCTTGTTTTTACTATGATTCTCGTAGGCAGTATCCTTGTCTTTGTTAAGGAGTAATGCTTTTGCAATGATGAAGTAGTATAAATATGTCTGGACATATGAAGATTTCTTCTGATATAATTGCTTCTTCTGAGCCAAGTTATCCTCCTTTGTTAATATATTATTTTAACATTTGGTTATTATTAATTCATTGTTATTAAGTGTGAAAGCATACCGTTGAACAAATATAGACGATAGATCAACAAATTTCTGTAAAAGCATACCGATGGAAGATTAGTAAGCAATGAAGATGTAAAGAATGTTAAGATTGACTCATGAACATGACAGTTCACGAAATTTAATTTATGATCCATGATAAATTATGTCATCCCTTGTAATAATGTCAAGATTATTTCTAAAATGATAATATACTGTTGTTTTAAATTTATTGTTATGGATTTATTCACTAAATGTGATTTGTTGTATACCCTTGAGAAACGAAATTTCATTTGAAAGTGTAAGATTTAAACAAGTCATAGCATCTGGAAAGTAATAAATGTTAAACATATTCGGCTTGAGGAGTATTTTAATTTAAATAAAATCTTTTGGTACATTTTTTTTGTCACAAATATTTTATACTTTTCTCTTTTAATTTCTTTCATTCTTTCTTCTCTTTTTCTTTTACACTTTTGTTTTCTTTCCTTTTGAAGTTATTTTGTGATTATTTTCTTTTGTTTTAGGTATTGAAATAATGTCACAAAATGTTTAAAAAATAAGAACATAAATTTGCAAAAATTTATTAGAGAAAATTAAAGAAGACTAAAAATTAGTGGAAATAATGCTACTATTCTTGTTTTTTATTAGGCTTTTGATTTTAAAATTTCTTGAACTTAAAAGTGAAAGTTCAACTCCAAAACTGGGTGTTGCCTGGTCTCAACTCCAATCTTGCCACTCAATCCAAAATTTTCTTGTGTTGATTAGTGGATAGACTTGCCTCCATTGCATCATGAATTGTTTCTTCTTAGCAACGTGGTTTCCTTATAGGAAGACAAATATTTGATTGCATTTGCATTACTTCAGAAGCATTAAATCTGCTTGCCAACATAGCTTTGAAAATTGACATCCGAAAAGATTTTGATATGTTGGATTGGAACTTCATCCTTCTCCCTATGGTTGGTCCTATAAATTGTACAACGCCCACACCTGCTTTATACACGAATGATATTATGATTTTTTGTCGTAGGACTTCTAGAATTGTTAAACATCTTCTAGAACTCTTTAAATTGTGTGGGGAAGCCTCTGGTCAGCTCATGCAAACAAATGCAACTTTTTTGGTGGTACTCTTCCAATGTCAAGGTGTACTACTCTACATTAATCCCTCGGGTTTTCAACATGTATGGTGTCATTCAATTATCTAGGGGTTCCTATATTTAAGGGCTTGCCTCACGCACGATATTTGCAAGGTTTGGTTTATAAGCTTAAAATTAAACTGGCTTCATGGAAGGACTCGTTGCTTTTTGTTATGAGGTGAGTCCAATTGGTTAGTTACATCTTTCATTGTAATTTGCTATATACTTTTCATGATTATACTTGACCTGGCCTAAATAGATGGTTAAATTGGTGTATCTATGCTTCGAAATTTTATTTGGTCGGGGGACCCATATACTTGGAAACATGTCACTGTTGCATCAAATAAGGTGTGTGCCTCTCAAGAGGGTGGTTTGGGTCTTCATTCTAGCATGAGGTTAAATGAGGCTGCCACTATTAAGCTTGCATGGAATTTTTTGCATGGCTCGTAGGAATGGGTGGCTTTCATGCGCATTAGGTTTCTCCAACATGGTCAGCCATTGCATTATTTTAAATCTTCTTTTTGGCCTTCTATTATACGTTAGTGGCAAACAATTCATCAACATACAAGTTGGGTTCTTGGTGATGGAAAATATTTGAATTTTTTGGTTGATATTTGCTGCATTAAGGTCTCTATTGTTAGTCAACTTAGCTTAAAGGAGGAACATAGTTGTGCATTACAATCAAAAGTTTGGGCTCTTATGGTGGATAAATCTTGGTGTATCCCATCTTGTCTCTTGTAGAGTATTCCAGAGCTTAAACAAGAATTAATGGTCTAGACACTTCTTCCATGAGAAAACAAACTTATATGGGCTTCTACAATTCATGGTGAGCTTACATTCAAGGAAACTTATTTCTTTTGCAAGTTGCATGGACGTTCTTGGGCAACTACCATTTGGTCTGGAGCAATACCACCCTCTAGGTCATCATTTATACTCTAGAGGTTGCTACATAGGGAGCTCCTTGATGATGATAATCTTCCTATGTGTGGGATCATGGTTGTTTCTATATGTGTAACATTTGTGATGCTAAAGTTGAATCCACTAAGCAACTTTTTCTTAAGTGCTCTTTTATCGTGGTCATGGCTACAAATGTTTTTCATACGTCTTTCGATTTATCATCTTCGAAGAGGCTTCTCATGGTACTTCAAAAGTAACGTAGTAGCCAGGTGAAGGAGGTTCTTTCAACAGCTTAGGTACATGTTATCTAAGTAGTCTAGTTTTGTTGTAATAGTCTTCTCTTCCAAAATAGGGTTTTCACAGTCATGTAGGCCATTTCTTTGATAGTTTCTTCTACAACCATTTCGAGTGCAACTTCATTGGGTCATTGACGTGATTGGTCGGATAAACTAATCTTTCAAGGCATGGGATGTTCTGTTCGACCTCTAAAGATGACATGGATTATACAAGTTGACTAGCATCCACTCGCACTGCGATTTGTCAAATGTAATATTGGTGGTGTAACTCATGGTTATAGGGGTTTCATAATCATATAGGCCTTTTCTTTGATAGTCTCTTCTACAACCATCCGAGTGAAGCTTCACTGGGTCATTCATGTGATTGGTCGGATAGACTAATTTTTCAAGGCATGGGATGTTTTGTTCGACCTCCAAAGATGACATGGATTATACAGGTTGACTAGCATCCACCTGCACTGGGATTTGTCAAATGTAATACTAGTGGTGTAACTTATAATTGTCTAGGTCATGTGGCTGGTGGGGGGGATCTATTCCTTGATCATCTCCTGCCAAATTGTGGACTCCTGGTGCGACCAAAAATGGGTTTACTCTCTAAGGTATACACAACGACGTGTTTAAACTTGTGCACTCGAAATCAAATATGTTAGAGTCTCACGAACAATGTTCAAAACAACAAATTATAAAGAAAAATTTAGAAAATAGACAAATTTACGCAATTTTGTTTTGATAGTTTCTTATACATTGTATGATCAAATTTATTTGGTATTTGTTATGTGGTCAAATTTTGTGGATGATCCAAAAGAAAAATCAATTATAGTTATTTGTTTATTAATTTGATGAGAAAATAAAAACAAAATTATAGATTTAATCATAATAAAAATGTTGAAAATACATATACTGTCATATGCTCAAATGTATGCAACTAATATGTATAAATAATATACAAAATAAAAGTTTAAAATTATTGCTACTTTAGAGGTTCTTTTGTTATTAAGTATGAAATAGAATATAAAATGATTTGTTAAAAAAAAATACAATATAAAAAAATTACATTGAGAACCAAAAGATTATTTTATATAAAGACAATAACACAAGGCTTGTAAGCTTAGATTGAATGGATTTAAACAAACACAAGCAATGATATGAGTAGTTAAGCACTCTTTGTTCTTGTGTGTATGCAAAAGTGATTTATTCTAATTGTGATATCATAAGATGATATGTTGTTATTTGACGTCTAATTGACAATGGTGATCAAAATTAAAGAGTTTTTAAGTTTTAGGTTGGGATGAAAGACTTGAGAAAAAAGCTATGTAATTTTAGGTATTAAAATGCGAGAAAAAATTGAAAATAGTTTCTTTCTAAGTCACTTATTATATTTGAAAATTTATTAAAGAAATTTTAATAGTTTCAATGTTGTATGTGATAGAATCATATGATCTTATCATTCATTTAAAAAAGAATGATAGAATGTCATTAGAAAAGGATTCAATGTCTTTTAATCTGAATATGTAAAAATAATTGGTAATGTTATATATCTCATAAATTGCTCTATAATTGATATTGCATATGTTGTATGTAGATTTAGTAGGTATACTCATAATCTAAATGATGATAATTAGAAAGTGTTTTTATGTTTTTTTTTAAAGTATCTAATGGTATTATGATTTGGAGTTTAGAGTTTATTAACTTTTCAACTATCCCAAAAGGGTTTTGTGACACAAATTGGAGTTTAGAAAATGATGAGGTAATGAGTCTATTAATATTCACTTTAGAATCTATTAATATTCACTTTAGAAGGTGATATTATTTCTTAGAAATTAACAAAACAAACATGTATAATATGGTTTACAATGGAATTGAAATTCCTAATGCTTGAACGTGCAAGTGAATAAGCATAATGGTTAAAAGGCCTAATGGCTAATATACTATTGTGGTAGAGATTTACATCTCTTGTATCCTTTCATTGTGATTAATAAGTTACAATTGTTGTGACTAATTGATTGAATCTACCAAAGGCTGCATTTGAAAGAATTTGAGGAATAAAGAAGATAAATTAGTTTGCTTGACAAGGCCCATAAAGATATATCACCTAGTGTTATTTTCTAGATCTTAATGAGGACTTGAGTTCAATTTGAAGATATCATGCCAAGTTCAAGAAGAAGCATTGATGAGTTAGAGTTTAATTAGTTATTTTGGGCTAAATAGTTGTTTAAGCCCATTTTGTTAATTATTAATGTAATTTTTATATTTTTTTATATTCAAATAATTCAGATGTCTTTTTATATTACTTAGGTTATTTTATAATGCTTTTAGGCTTCCTATATCATAATGATAGTTAGTGGAACAGTGGAGAGTTAATTCCAGTGGAAATTATGTGTTAGTGGGAATTTATTTGTAGGTGGAGTCTTAATGGGAATTTATGTCTTGTTGCCCATAAAAGCTTATAAATAAGAATCTTTTGTAAAGATTTTGACAGAGTGAATTATTCAGAATTTGGATATTTTTTCAATTGAGATGATTTTCTCTCTAGATTCTTAAGAACTACTATTGATTATTTTCCTTGAATTTTTTTAATTTAAAGTGGTGAATCTTCCTAAACTTATCAATTTTCAAGGATTGTAACATTGTTTTTCCATTTCTAATCAATCCATACTTTTTTCTTTTTAATTTCTTTATTTTCTTATAAATTGTCCAAAGAAACTCATGATTTGGGATGCTGGAATTTTGATCCTACTGGATTCACATCACTAATAGTGGTTATAATGATAAGAGAAGACACTAAGACATGGTGTTGTCAAAATTTTAATTAAAATTGTGGTATCTCACACAAGTATGTAAAAGGTGAGAAAAATCTTATAGATCCTTTCATAAAGGGGTTATCCAAGAAAATTTTCATAAATATGTTAAGGAGATGATCTTAAAAGCCATGAGTAGAAGAAAGTTGTGTGTAATCAATTATTTTTATTTTATTTTCTTAAATTAAAAATTTAAATGCATGTAATGCAATGATAAGTTGAATCATAATTCATAAACAATTGGAAATCGAAAACTACATATAATTTGTGGAGGATCTTCCTTAAATAACTATCATCAAGTGTCATATCTTATTTTCAAGGATGGGTTCAAAAAATTTAAGTAGTGAAAACAATATTTATACATAAAAGTTAACGAGTGTTAATAACATATTCACTTTTATTGATTAAAATTTATTGAAAATTGTAAAATCAGAAAAGAGAGTTATTAAATATAGTGTAAAATCCACCAAATTCTATATTTTTTAATAAATTTTAGTTAATTAGAGAGTGTGTTGCTAGCCTTTTTCTAAATTAATATTTTATTTATATATAATACATGATAAAAAGATAATTTTATATAATTTAAATTTAACAAATATTTTTAATATTTAAATTATATTATAATTAAAAATCATAATAGAAAGATGAAAAATAAAGAAATTTTTTTATAGGATTTAAAATCTAAATTTGTTCATTTTACAGAGACTAAAATATATTTAAACTTTAAATATATAAACTAAAATTTGAATTTATAATCAATAATTTAAGTTTTGATATAAATTTTTTAATTTAAGGTTTAATTAATGGTCATAAGTTTTACACGTCAACCAATCAAAAATTAACATCAATATAATATTTAAGATAGTTGTTGTAAAAGTTAACAAACATATCATACATAATGTTTTGAACATGGATAACAATATAAAAATATTTTACACCAATAGTGTAGGACCTTTTTTCTTTTAATTATTTATAACTTTTTTTAAAAACTATTAAAGTTCAATTAAAATAGAGATAAAATATAGTAAAGTGAAAGGTTGGACAATTAAAAAATTTATTTGTTTACTTAATGACAAAAAAGAATATAATTTGATATAATTGAGAGAGAATTTTTTAGTTACAAAAATAAAGTATAAAATTTATATTAAAAAAGAAAATAATATTAAAAATATTAAATTAAGAGAATAAAAATAATCAAATTAAATAAATTAGTGGGGTAATATTTAATATAAGTTTTTTTTACCATATTTTAAATTATTTGTAACCTGTAATTATAAATATACTATATTTATAAATGACCAAAAATAAATAAATTAGTGCCCACTCTCTGGTATATGAATCCGTCTCTGACTATTCTCCGTTGAGTCAAGTGAACAGAAAAAAGGAAGCAACAAAAAAAAAAAAAAAAACCTAAAATATACGTGCTAGTACTGATCAAAAGGAGGTTATTATTTCTTGGTTAGTTGGATCTTAGTGTTTATATTTAACCTTTAAATCCACCAATATAGCATACAAATCAGATTGGTAGTTGAGATTAGAACACTATCAGAGGGTCAGGTTTGTTTCACTTTTCTATCTTTTGTGGCGGCTCAGATTTCGCTCCTCGAACTAACTATGTACTGAGCTTTTCTTCCAACCCTAGTTGCTCAAACCAAACACTATATATAAATAATCAAATATTACTCACCCTCCTGATTGTCTACGTTAGCAAAACCGCACTGAAATTATATCATATGTTATGTAGTAAAAACATTTTTTTCCTTGTTCTTCAAAACTTTATTTTATTTTGTGTCAGAATTAACCATAATTGAAGGGCTAAGAGGAGTATAGGTATGGTTTCTCCTAATAGAGCACAGTATCCACCTATGGTCCGACAAGGCTCTTTGTATAACCTCACATTTGATGAGGTTCAGAGCCAGTTGGGAAACACAGGGAAGTCTCTCCATAGTTTGAATTTGGATGAGATTCATAAAACTGTGATCTCAGCTGAAAGTGGACAACTGGTGCAAGACCCTTCATCGGATCATTCATTTATTCTTGGAAACATTGACTTGAATGGAACAATAAGCAACAAAACCGATATTGGCGAGGCTTGGAGGGGAATGGTTCAACAACAGCACGTGAACAGGTCCATGGACACCCACATGCAGCAACCAAATTTGGGTGAAACCCTAGAAAGTTTCCTAGCTCGTGCAGGTATGCTTGATGTAGGAGACCACGACAATGTTAATGTTATTGATGATGCTCAACCCGTGATGGGAATTGATCCAATGGTGATGCCTTCACAGCATGAACATTGGTTACAAATGCAAATTCCTGGCATTAACATCCACCAACATCACCATCGGGAGCAACAACATCAACAAATAATTGGGTCGTGTCCGGATTTCAATGTTTCCAAGACATTTTATGAGAACCCAGTTATGGAAATGGGTTACTCAGAAAATTCAGTGGGGATTTCAATGTCACCTGCGTATTCAGATTCCAAGAGTGCTGTGTTTGGGAAGAATAGGTATTCAGATGAGGTGATGGAAAAGACTATTGAGAGGAGGCAGAAGAGAATGGCAAAGAACAGAGAATCTGCTGCAAGATCAAGGGCAAAGAAGCAGGTTAGTACAACGACTCATCATCATCATCATCATCAACCATGCATGCCGTTAGTCCACCGTATCTTCTTCGCCAAGGAAATTTATATCATTCATCTTCATGTTCTTCAAGGAGCACGTTAATAAGTTAGAGAGAGAGAAGTTTCGCTTGCAGAAGATGAATAGCTCACTCAAAAAGCTAAAGGTACATTAGGCAATCCATTTCTAAGACAAAATCATTTCTGCATTTTCTACTGTTACTGCATCTTAATGTTGTTTTATAAATCATGTTTGGTATAATTTCGTGTAAAAATCTTACCACATAAAAGTTAAACTTGTGTTATAATACTATCTGGGAGTGCGGTTTATATATCTCGTGCAACTTATGTATCAATTGGGCAACTTCAAATTCAATTGGTTCTAAGATGAGGATATCTTTAGTATATGTATTGGAAAGTCCCATCACCTCTCTCAATTCATAGGGATTTGGCATAGTAGCAACTGGTATAAGATGAAATTTAATACATTTAATTATCCTTTTGCTATAGAGCAATGAGCTTCAAGTCCTTGTCCAAAGCTATAAAATCTTAGTTTTGAGAATTGGATTGGTCGATTGAGTACGAATCCTCTCCGGCAACGTTTTCTCTCTCGCAAAAATCAAGGCCATTGAGTATATTCTCCCTCTTCCTTTATTATTGGATAATGGTGAATTAAGGGTTGAGATGTTGCAAGACAGAAGTGGGAGGAATAGTTGGCAGGAGAGGATCCAAATTCCTGGTGGATTTGATTAATCTGAAGGGAATTGGTAACCAGTTCGTCAAATAATTAAAAAGTATTGGAACCTTTCGAAACCGATCTAAAATTGGTGTAGCAAATTTAGACTTTTATGTGTACTTGAAATGTTAAAAACCTTTAAAATGATGTTTTACTTAACTTTTTAGTTTTATAAAATTATTGTATTATATTTATTTAATATTGTTTTTATGTATTATTAAATTATTATTATTATTATTTTATTTATAGTGGTTTAATAATCAGATTGATTTTAATATGAATGCTTTCAACATTTTATTTTTCGTTACAAGAGTTAAATGAACGAAAACATCCTTTTAAATTTATGGATCAAAAAACTTCCTTTTAAATTTATTTTAAACATAATTTAATGAGTAGCCCATTCATAATTATTAAAAATAAAATTAGTGTGTGATGCAACATGAAATTCGTGCCTCTATCCCTGAAAATGATTTTTTACTGCTTTGACATGACTATATAGTTGTATTCTGATGATTATCTTTATCTAAAGCATTTTAGGTAAGTGTAAGTTGTTGTTTGTTTTGAAAAAATATAATTGTCAATTATAAAACTAGAGAAGAAAAATAAATACAATTCAATTAGATATTTTTATCAGAATATAATAAGAGATCTTTATTTCTCAGGAAGCTTAACTTTTTATTAGCAATTGGATTTTTTTGTAAGAGTAGCTCGCTTTTGTTTTTTGGTATAGAGGGAGGAAGAAGAACAAAGCAAAACTAAAGAAAATAACTAAGTATAGCTAGCACAAGTCACAACCGCAAGAAAGCTACCCCATGATATCCGTTGACAAAAGGTTAGTATAATTCCTTCTGGAAGCCTTTCAAAGATCTTCAACTTGCCATCTTGGGAGGTTAACCCTATTTTGCCAAAAAAAAAATCAATCAAGGCAATGGTTCTTTCTCTGAGTGTGTACGTGATCAAGCTTCACCATTAACTCTTTAGTGAATTTAGGAAGGTTAAATCATAGTTAGTTCAGGGGAGGATTGCTAGAGTATACATATATATATTATTAGAATAAGAAGGTAAATATAAATTTATAAACACATAAAATATTTATTTATATAAAATCTTAAGGTTTATTTAGTGATTAAGATGAAATAGGATATAATATTAGAACAAAATAAGATAAAAGTAAGATATGATAACAAACTAGATAATGTTATTATATTTTTTTTTTCTGTATTTAATATATATTAATAAGATATTATATAAATTATATTAAAAAACAGATTTTCTGTTTTATTAAAATTACATATAGTTTTTAAAAATAAGTACTAATTTAATTTTTAAAATTTTAAATAGAATAATATAATTTTAACTATATAATGTAAAAGTTAATTTTATTTACATAGTTACTTTTCTTAAAATTATATAATATTTTTAAAATTATAATTATTTTCAAATATTTTTCTAAAAACCATTGAAATAATAACTTTTTTTTAATATTCTAGTTAATAATATATACATTATAATATAATATAATATAATATAATATTATATATATATATTATATAAATTAATATTATATAATATATATTGTTATATATTATTTAAATTATTATTTAATATTATTTTTTTTGTTATTTTATATAATATTATATTTAATTATAATAATATATTATAATATAATATATGACATGATGTATAAAGAGAGAAAGGATGATCTTATCCTATTAAGGGTGTTTGTGAGTTTAGACAATATGATAAAATTAATTATATGAATCAAACTAATCAAATTCAAATTGTTCAATTTTTTTTCTTGATCTCGGATCAAATTCAATTCAAATTAATTAAATTCAACTTTAATTGGCTTGGATTACAAATTTTTATTTTACAAAATGATCCAAGAAGTAAATCAACTTAAATTATTATTATATTATTATTATAATTATTATTTTAACAACAATATTTTTTAATTTTATAAGTAACATAATGATTAAGTAATGACTGACTACTTGAATAATGATTGTGACTTAGATAACTTATTTACGTTTGAGGAACCACCTTAATTTTAAATATTGAAATACTTTAATTATAAATGTTAGATCACGTTTTTATTTCATTTCATATTTCTTACATTACTTTTTTATTTATGCAATTTACATTATTTTAACAATATATTTTTATTTAAATTTTGAGATAAAATAATGTATTTTTATATTTTAAAAAAGTAAATATATGCAAAAAGAAAAATTTAAGAAAACTAATTAATTCGAACCAAACCAATCCATTATTAATTGGTTTATTTTGATTTGGCTTGCAATTTTTTTTTGTAGACGCGATCCAAACCAAATCAATCAAAATTAATCGATTCAAACTTTGATTTATCCCAAATTCAAACTAAACTGATTTGCGAATATTCTTATATCTTATCTCGTTGCTACCTATTTACCTACTCTGTTACGATAAAAAAATATACTAGACCAGCATAATAGGATGAGAGATAAGATAAAATTAGCATATATATATCACGTTGATACAACAAACAATAGATTATAATAATATAAAATAATTATTTTATTCTATTTTATCATATCATGTCCACCAAAGTGATGACTAAAATCAAAATATATATGATCTATCATTGTACTACATAAATATGCTCAATATATAATAAATAAAATTATGAATAGCTCGGTTATGGCGTTTTCCTAAGATATTTTTTCTTAGCTTTGTTTAATTTTAGCAGTAAAGGAAAGGGGAATGAGCAAATATTGCTTAACCAACCAGATCATAGCATTGCCTAAACGAAGCCCAGTGTGTGCTAGCTCCAATTAAAGGTTAGTCATTAGCAAGTAAGAGATAAAATATGGAATAAAATTAAGAAATTAAAAAATATAATAAAAATAATAATAAACTGTTTGTTTTATTTAATGCTATTTTCAGTTATATCAATTGAGGCTTAATTAATGTTGTTGATATTAATATTTCAGGAATTGGATGCAGAGTTATTTTCAGCTACAACTCTCACTCCAAGATACCAACTACGGCGTACGAGCTCAACCACATTTTAACGAACATTGGTTATTCTAAATCGCATTAGATGTTCGTTATTGTTTCATCTCATTTTTGCTTCAATTCTTTATCAGAGAATATACCATTCTTTGCAAAACAATAATGAGTCTTTTGTGTTTTTTATGGACTCCGATCGACTAGTTCCGGCAGATTCAACTGCTCATTGCAGAAAAGTGGCTCGCTTATGGAGAGAACCGTGAGAAGAGCTTGAGAAAAGTTTTGATAGCTCATTCATGGACATGCTGTTATAGCATGTCATTAGGTTTTTTTTTTTTTTTTTTTTTTTCCATTGCTTAAATAATTTTTTTTATATCTGTAAATATTTTTTTCCCTTATATAATTTTTTATTAGATTCGAGGTTAAGTCAGATTATTTACTTTGAGTAAAAAAAAAAAAAGAAGTTATATTGTTCATTTATTATCTTATTTATTTTTATTTTAAATTTTAGTAATTGTATAGGGATTATGTGCGAAGAATATCTAGATTGGAAAGATAGAGAAGTTAGGCTTCCAATAAAGAAGAATGAAGGAAAAGAATAAAGGAAAAGAATAGTGCTGACAACAAATGTCACATAATGTATAATTATAAAATATTATTATAGATATAATATAGATTAAAATATTTTTTGTTTTTTTTATAGTTTTATTTATTTTACCTTTTAGTTCCTATAGTTTAAAATAGATATCTTTAAGTATATATATAGTTTAAGATAAATCTTTTATGTTTTGAGTCCTTTTAGTTCTTGTTGTTATTTTTTTTTTTTGTAACGTTGTCTACTGTTTCTACATGTAAACACAAAATAGATGTTACAAAAAAAAAATAACAATTCAGACTAAAAGAATTAAAAAAATTTGTAAGTATAAAAACTAAAAAAATCTAACTTAAACTATAGGGGTTAAAAAAGATTGAAAAAAAATAAGTAAAGAAACTAAAAAAAGTCTATTTTAAATCATAGATACTAAAATGTAAAGTAAGTAAAACTATAAAGACTAAAAAAGTATTTTAACTTATAATATATATATAAGTATAAATCTATTTTACTTATATTTATATAATTTTAGTGTTAATTTTGAATATGATCTAAATATGGTGGACAAAGAAGAAAAGGAAAAGAACTTGAGTTGTCTAACTCAATTTGCTATTTTGCTAGTATGGACACTAAAGACTCGATGTATAAAATGGATAGTTGCTACTTTAGTAATGAGTTAAAGTGTAATATTGATGGAAATGATGATGAGGTGAATGTTGAAATAGGTAATACACATTTATGGCATAAATTGGAGAAAATGTGCAAGGAATTCAAGTGGTGTTTGGGTATGAAGTTCACTAGTCGTAGTGAATTTAAAGAAGCAATTTTGGAGCATTTAGTTTCAAATGGTAAACAAATTATGTGGTCTAAGAATGATCAGAGGAGGGTTTGGATAATTTGTGCACAGGAAAATTATCCTTTTCACAGTCTTGGTCTCAAAAGTGGGAGGCAAATACACTGATAAATCGAAAACTTTAGTGCCAAACCACACGTGTGAAAGTGTTTAACAAGAGGAATGTAGGAGTGAAGTGGGTTGCTAAGGTGTTACTTAAAAAATTTAGATCAAATGAAAAGATTATATTTACATAAATGGTTGATAAGATCAGTAGGAGGTATGTTGTTGGGATAACTAGGTCAAGAGCAATCAAAACTAGGAAGATTGCATTGAAGATTGTAACAGGGAATGTCACAAATAATACTCACAGTTGTGGAGCTACAATACACAATTGAGAAGAATGAATCCACAAAATACATGCAAGATTCTATTTGATAAACTAGAACCAACATTACATCCAAGGTTTGGGTCATTCTACATGTGTTTGGATGTGTATAAAAAAAAGGACTATAAAAGGTTGTAAACTTATCATTAAAGTTGATGGGTGTCACTTAAAATCAAAATATAGGAGAAGCTACTTGTTGTTAGTAGAGATGTTATTGATCAGTACTTTACATTGTTATTTGTTGTTGTTAGTAGAGATGCTATTGATACATTGATTCATATTATTCCTAACATTTCTAGCTTGGAACATGAAAGAAAGGGCCAAAGAAATCTTAATAGATAGTGAAGTAAGGAAGAAAGACCATAACAATAATAATCCAACTAAAAAACAAGATTTATGAAAGAATAGAAGAGGATTTGGTTTTTTGTAAAAATTGTGTCTATATTGGCCTTATTTTATGCGTATTGTTTTGGAGAATATATCCAGACTTGTAAGCCATTAAATGTAGTCGGTGACTTCTTTATATGAAATATACTATCTAGACTTATAAGCCACTAAATGTGGTCATGACTTGTTTATTTTAGTGTGGATTAAGGTCAAACTAGTCCTTTTTTTTATGAAGTTACTTGGTGTTAGGAGAATCTTTTGTATTATTTTGAGGAGTATACAATGTGTATGTTGAATGCATTTGACTCACTTTTTATTTAATAGCTTTTATTTTCCAACAAACTAAATATATGCATCAATCAATTGAGTTGTATTTACTTAGCTAGGTAATATAACTAAACAATATGTAATAACTAATTTGATTATATTTACTTAGTTGGGAAACATAACTAAATAGTATGCATTAATCAATTTGTTGAACTAAAATATAACTAGCAAATTCAATATAACCACTAATTGAATTATGTGATCACAAATAAATTAACCAAGTACATAGTGATTTCCAAAATGTAAAACCAAAGTTGTTATACATATTGGTCTCCAAAATAAAGACAATATTTCTAATGGGACGTAATACACGTAGTGGTTTCCAAAATGTAAAACTAAAACACAACCACCTACTGGGACTACAACCAACTAATAATGAGATTGCAACACTACTATTGGATATAATAGTAACTCAACTTAGTTATTTTTGGACACCAACACTACACACATCATTCCCAACATTGAACAACAAAACACCAACAAACACATCAACACAAATCCTATTTAATTTAGTTTTTACTATGTTTATCATAAAAACATGTAGAATACTTGCAACTTTGTGTTGTTTCAACAATAATTATGACTTGATGAAGGTAGCTTTTGAAGGATGGTTGAAATGGAAAATCTTATTAAATGGTTTAAAATTTTGATTAAGAAATCAAAACAAGTTCAAAAGTTATATCTTCCAAAAGGAAATTTCGAAAAGGAAGATCAAAAAATGGTGAAGAGATACAAAACATGAAGTTAAGAGAGAATTCTAACTTTTCTGAAGAGATCGTCAAAGTTGTTGTACAAGGATACATTGCATAAGTTTACTAGGTTATGAGTGACTATGTTTTCGAAGTTCTTCTGAAACCATGGTTCAAAAGTATTTTTGATATTGAAGACATGAAATGAATATGCCAAGTGTAAAGATCTGGTTTTTTATTAGAAGTAGTAGTTACATCTCAATGACATTTGTAAGAATCGATCAAATCTAGTGCAAAAATGTATTGCACTCCAAACAAATGGATTATGAAGTTTAAACTTTCATGACACATGTCAAAATTATAATATGTAACATTGTGTTTTTATATAATTTTTTATATGATTATTTATTGTTGTTTGGTGTTTTTAGTGTTGTCTGTTAAAGTTATGAGTGTTGAGAAATCATTGAGAGTTAGGTTGTTATGAGTTGTTTAAGTTGAGATCAAGTTTGATCAAGAAAAGGAAAAGGTATATATGGACTTTTGGAAACAGGAACTTCATAAGTTTTATTCCAAAGATTTATAGAAAAGCTGGAGAGAGGAACTCTAAGACTAGGAAGAACACCTCTACATCAGATTCTTTCTAATGCATCATCATCCTTCCCTGAAGATGAGTTCAAGTCTCAAATGCTTATTCAAGCTTTGGGGAGCGTGAATTTTGAGGAGAGAAGTCAATCCTAGAGAGTTTAGTATTTTTTTATTCTTCCCTCTTGATTCTAGCTTCTAGGAAGTTGTTTGAAGTAAGGGAAGCTTGTTGCTTGATTCTTTGATGATGATAGATGTTGTTTATGTTGTTAACTTGTCCATTGGTGGATTATATGTTGATTTTTAATGATTTTGGATGGTGGTGAAAGTTGGTGTATTGTGTTTGTTGAACCAAAAACTTAAAGTTGTTCAATTCTTGATTTTTAGTAGTTGCATGTATAATATGAGCGTAAATTCAAGTTGTATAAGTTGTTTAGAATCAATTTGATGGTTTGCATACAAGATTTGATGGTTGAATGATGTTACAAAGTGCATGTATGTTGGAGATGCAAAGCATTCTCACTCAACAAGATATTTCTCGTTGAACTAACTTTCATAGGTTGAAGGCCAAAACCTAGATTTTTAGGTTTTTGCTCACCGAGGCATATCTCAATTAGGGAATGTTGGTGATTCAGATAAACAAGTTGAAACTTCGATGAGTGACATGTAATCATTGACAAAGCTTGGGCCTCTAGTTGGCCCTAGATGTGATAGCTCAACGAAGAGGAGTCATCTAGCTAGCTTTTGCCTTTGGTTAAGTTGTAATGTAATCTTACCCTTGTGTTTCTATATTGGAATGCAATGATCATATTTGGTATGAGAGTAGTTTAGGAATATGTTAGAAGGTTGGTTTGGAGGTTTTGTGGCCATTTATGTGGATGGCTTTTGTTAGTGTTATTCTTATGCAAACTGTATATATGTCATGACCAACACTAGGATCTTGTTTTTAGTTTCTCTTGTTTTTGTTATATTGTATATATCGAGGGATAAATGTAATCCTATAAGGGGGTATATCTTTTTAGTTATTATCCTAGGAAAAGTGTTTATGTTTTCTTGTACCTTTTATATGTCCAAGAAGTCTAGGAACTATTTGCATGAGATCCTATGTTAGTTGATTTTATGTTTTCTATTGCTTGTATGTGTTGTACCTGTGTGGCAACTTGCTTGGTCATTACATAGTAGAAACAACTATTTATATCTCTATGGTGTGTTTGGATGTGGAATTTTACAAATTCAAATAATTTAAAATTCTTGGTATTTGAATTACTTTGATTTCAATTTCTATCATTCTTAAAATGTTTTGTTTGGATTAGTCAATTTAAATTTTTTAAATTTTAAATTATTAGTTTGGATATGATAATTTGATTTTACTATGATAAAATTGATTTTAAAAATATATTTTTATATTAAGATTTTTAAATAAAATTTTATAAAAATAAATATTAGTCAATT